GAATTGGAGACCACCAAGACTTACCAGATCTCTAGACTAAATTGGGAAGTTAAAAAAAACCAGTGTTGATTCATTTTTGTGTTACCATTCAAAAAATGATATACCGTATCCATGAGAAAAAAAACCTTTTATTGAGCAAAATAGCTGTAGTGAAAGTAGAAGATAGAACCCGGTTGTTTGCTTGTCATTAACCATGGCTGACTGAATCATGAAGCAGTCAGCCCAATTTCTGTACACTTTGAATTCTACGTGAACTGAATTGCACTAGTCTTGGTTAATTAGTTCAGAATGGTGTTACCATATCATGGTTGCAAAAGCCTTGAGATTTTTAGATGTTTATAACCAAAGAACATAACAGATATATAAAGAACAAATTCTTTGCTATCATTTCATAGTTGTCTGGAGTTTGAACAGCCCAGATATGTATGTCCCTGGTTTAGGAAACATGACTGTGTACTCATTTTATTTGTTATATTACTTTCTTCAAGATACCTACCCTTTCCAACTGCTGTTTCTTGTCTTAAAGACAATTTTCCTTGAATTTCTGTATTTGGACCAAGTATGGGAGCCACTGAATTAACATGACAACTTTGAGGGCAATGTATCAATAGAGGCAGTTACTTTTTATCTCTTGTTTTCGTACACATTTTAAATGGCTCCCTAGCCTTGGGAAGAATATGGTTTCCTAGGATTTTAGACACAAGCTTGGATTCCATATCATGCTAAGTGATAGTCTACATTACTATGATATATAATAAAGCATTATTGACCAGGTATGCCAAATAAACCCTAAACCAGGGGTAGGCAACCTTGGCTCTTTTATGACTTGTGGACTTCAACTCCCAGAATTCCTGGCTGGCTCAGGAATTCTGGGAGTTGAAGTCCATGAGTCATAAAAGAGCCAAGGTTGCCTACCCCTGCCCTAAACACTAATAGCTATGTTTATGTAAAATGCTCATATTGTCCTTTTGAGCAATGTGGGACAAAGTCTTAAAAGGTTGCTGTTTCCTCAAATGTAGTTGATAACACATCTAATATGCCATTTGACTCTAGAAAATCCTCAGTCATTCAAAGAAGCTTGGAAGGGAGGGACACATATCCTAGGATTTAACCTCTAAAAGTTCCTTCATCTGTGGGGTAGATCCTGCACCTCCAAGTGTTGGCCATGCTGATTGGCACTAATAACAACTGAAAGCCAGCAACATTTGTAGGGGGCAGATATTACCATTTTTTGAGAGTTGAAGAGGTCTGCAAAAGAAAAAACTTTGGAAATTCTGTCCCCCATTGTCTCTGTATTGAGTGTGCACAGCTGCTTCGTGAGTCCCTATAGAGATGTTATCTGTACACACTATATCAGTGATGGCGAACCTTTTAGAGACCGAGTGCCCAAACTGCAACCCAAAACCCACTTATGCATCATCGGTTGCCGGGTGGGTGTGGCCCATTGGGTGGGTGTGGCCCATTGGGTGGGCATGGCTGCAATGGTAACAGTATACTGGGTGGGACTAAAAAGTTCAATCAATCAATTCCAACTTTGCAAGATCTTTTTTTTCCCGAGAAGTTGAAATTGACTGATTGATTGAACCTTTTTTTTTTTTGTACACGGCGGTGGAAGCCTAAAGTGAAAAGGTTTTATAAAACCCAGCTGAAGGCCTAGGACTGGGACAATGGCATGCATGCCCACAGACAGGGCTCTGAGTGCCACCTCTGCCACCCGTGCCATAGGTTCGCCACCACTGCACTATATTATCCGTAGTTTTTGAAATATCAACTTGGAAAAGTCACTTTCACCACAATTCTCTTCCCCCTTTTTTTTCTTCTGTGCTCCTGGCTTCTCTCCAATCTCATTGTCTTATACCACATATATACTTACAATACAATACAAGCTCAGATATTGTTATTAATGCAATTAAAGTTAAACTGCATTTTCCTCTGGTCTCCACCCTGAAACCAGGCTGATTCCTGCATTTAATGTCTTGAATTGAAACAAAAAGCCTTACGCAGACAACACATTTCTCTCATTCTGAAGCCCTTCCACAGATTTAGGCCTTAGAATGCTGTCCGTAGGCAAATGTTTCCTTCTTGACATTGTACATCTCCAGGTCACTTAGTTAACATAGACTTCTTTTAGACCTCTGGGTAATGTTGTGCCTCACCCAAACCAAGTTATTCACCTTTTTCAGTTTAAGAGGGAGGGGGGCTTCTCTCATACAGAATCAGGCCTAAGTGATCCATTCCTATGGCTAGGCCCTCATTTCTGGTGCCTGAGGAAGAGCATTCCCACAGTGGAACAAACTGGGGGAAGGGGGCTGGCAAGGGGCCAGGCAAGCAAAGATAAGGCTCCAGTTGGCTTGGAGCCAGCCTTCCAGGAGTTTAATCCACACCATCTTCTAGCCTGGCTCCTTGGAATGAGGGCACCATTTTTGACTGTCATATTTATAGAGAGAGGTAGAGCTACCCCTGCTTCTCCACCCACGCCAGGGAGCCTTTGGCAATAGTCCCTCCTGAGCAGTCCTCTTCTAACTAATTCCCAGGGCTGTGACTTGTCCTTGGCCCTGTCAGTGCTCTTTTCAGAGTGAGGACAGAGTCCCGGATTAAAAGGTGCATATTAGGAGTCTCAAAGGATGGTTTGACATGGAATTCTGCATAATTAGATCCTTCCTGATTGTATGATCAGGCTGTTACTTCTTCAGAGAAGCAAAAAAAAAAAAAAAAAAAAGGGGGGGGCAAAAGGGTTTGTAGGAGGCCAATTGCTTGGGAAAGACCCTTTTTGCCCATATATATGGGATGTGCTTGATTTCTATCCCAGGTGTTATCTCTTGCCCCTGCAACTGAGAGTAAGAAGACCAGATAACTGAACAGGCAAAAGAGGACATGGACAATTGGAAAGGAGGACGAACATAAATATAAAATATAAAAAAACACTCAGTGGCAATATCTATTGCTTTACAAAAATAAAAAGCCAAACAAGGGTGGTAAAAGAAAAATGTGTGGCAACAAGAACAAGTCTTTGGGACCCCTGGGATGGCCCATATTATATCTGGCTTCCAGTCTGCTATTGAATGCAATTCAAGGTGCTGGTTATGATTTTGAAAGCCCTTAACGGCATTGGTCCAGGCTACCGTATGGCATCAGGACAAGCCCATCCTACTAGTGCCAGCAGAGAGAGCCTACTATGGATCTTGTCGTCAAAGAACTCCAACTATTGGGATCCAGAAGAAGAGCCTTCTCTGCTGCAGCACCCACCCTTCGGAATACCTTACCCTATACGGTAAGATCTTCCCCCACCCTCATATCCATTTGCAGGAGCCTTAGGACCTGGCCTGGGGACCAAACAGGAGAGTTCCATGCTAGAGGTGGCTGCTGGATTGACGGCAGACTCCACCTGCCCCCCCCCCGCACTTGCCTGTGCTTTCCACTCACCCATCTTTTTGTTACCCGATTGCTGTTTTCTCTGTGTTTTTTTTTCAGTTTATTTTTTTTTATTCTATTATTTTACTTCCATTTTGTTTACACTGTTCATTTCTTCCTTTTTAATAGTAAGTTACCTAGAGTCGCCTCTCAGCGAGACAGGCGGCAAATATATGTAATAATAATAAAAAAAGGCTTTGCTCTTTATGCCTTATTGTCTCTGGCATTTATATTCTCTATACATTGTGTGCAAATTGCGTCCTTTGTGCAACATGACCTTTCTTTCCAGCACAGTTCCTCTAACTCAGCGGTTCTCAACCTATGGGTCGCGACCCCATTTGGGGTCGAACGACCATTTCACGGGGGTCGCCAAACAATGCAGTCCGCCATTTTTTCCCCTTTTCCTTAGCTGTGCTACTCCCTTTTCTTCTATTGGCTTTTGAAAGCCAATAGAATAGACTCTCTTGAATAGAGTCTAATTCTATTGGCTTTCAAAAGCCAATAGGAATTGTCCAGGCTGTCTCTGCCCTGCTGAGCCCACCAAAAGTCCCATTCTGCAAATGGTGCTGCAAGTTGTCTGCAGTGAAGGCGAGCTGTCTGGAAGTTTCCACCCCTCCTTGCTGAGCAACTATTAAAAATGTAAGTAAAAGAGGGCCAGGGGTGGGAGGTGGGAGGCCGGCGAATGCAGGGAGGGTTGCTGGCGCGCGTGGGGCCCGGCGGGTGCCTTACCTCCCTTGGGCTGGGCCAGCTGGTGGCCTAGCCAGTGGTCGTCCTGTGCCGTCGCTGACCCTTGCCAGCTACGCCTTGGCTGACGCAGGGGGCGGCACCACACCTGCGGGGCGCTCCCGGGCAGGGAAAGTCCTCGACTTACGACCGGTTGGGTAGTCCTCAACTTACGACCGGTTGGGTAGTCCTCAACTTACGACCGGTTGGGGGGTCGCGGCATTAAAAAGGTTGAGAACCACTGCTCTAACTTAAGGGGGGATCAACATCGGTTTGCCCAAGAGCCTATACTTTCCTTTGCTGTTCTTCTAAGTGAGATTCTTTTAAGTTACACTTTGTGATTTGAACATTATATTGCCATTATCTCACTTAATGCTTTAAATGCAATTGCTTAAAGCTGAAGAGAATTGTTACATGTTGTTTTTTCCTTTTTTAAAACAATTAAGTCTATTTCTTGTGCCATTGCTCTATCAAGCCATCCAAGAAGTGCTCATGATATCCTCCACTGTCTGCACTGCCTACAGTATGTCAGCAGGTGGCACCATAAGGAAGGCGCATAGGCTCTTACATGCTGTGACAAGGGAGAAGTGCCAAGCAAGGCACTCCCTAAAAACCAGGGCTAGCAGCAAGAGCTACTAAGCCACAACATGGAACTAGTACGTGTCAATCCCAAGGCTTCTGGGAAAGAAAGAGTGTGGCTTCCAACCTTGCATTCTCCAGACTCAGTACTGCACTAGAGCCTGCTGATCTAATCTATCAACTCAACCTTTCGGATATTGGGTCCAAAATTGAGGATAAATGAAATCTACGACCCAAAAATCTTTTATCACAACTGCAGGTTTGTCAATAATTATATCACCCAAATCTTGCATCAGGAGCACTTATGTTATATTAAATTACACACAGCATCAACCTTTTACATACTGAATACATACTCTTTCTTTCCAATGTATCGTATATACAGTACATTTGACATGTCCTGCTACAGAGGCAGTCTTTGTTCTTTCTCTGTTTAGAGTAATGGAGTATCCAATATTTTTGCAAATCATCTCCCAGGTAATTGAAGGATATCTGCCGGCACAATCATTCCTCCAAGTCCTTCACGGGCCAGGAAGCAAATTCTTCATGAGGCATTGATAGTACATCCCAGGTTCATAGTTCAACAAGAGGCTGACTTCGTCATGAGAACTTTGATTTCAATATGATTCAAGCCAACAACTTTTTGTCTTTCGATCTTACGCAGCAAGGAACAGCTCAGGACTTGGCCACAGCAAGGCACATCAACAAATATAGCTGAGACTTGCTTTTCTCTTCAATTTTAATCCTTATGGCTGTGCAAAAAGGAAGTGGAGCCTGGGGAAATGCCCATTAATGCTACCTGAGACTTGGATTCCAATATAATGCACACAAAAACAAGGATCAGAAATCCAGAGCCAGGCCAAGTTGCTACTATTTCTTCATGCCAAATAGTACGGATGCCTTTACTTTACACAACAGTTACTCTAGCTCCTTCTCGCTTTTCTTCCCTTGAAGGAAATCCCATATCACTTGATTGACCTTTTCAGGCTGTTCCTCAGGTATCCAGTGGCTCCCGTCTGGGAAGAAATGTACATGGTAGCTGCCTTGGAGATAGGGTAGTATCTGATTCACCAACCCGTCTTCCATGTAGGCATCCTTCTGTCCCCAAAGCAGCAGAGTGGGCACCAAAATATCTCTGCGCTTTGGTGGTATCCAGCTGTAAAGGCAGACACATATTGATAAACATTAAAATGAACACTGGGTAACTAATAGCTTTCTGCTTTAACATGCTAAAATCCTTCCTGCTATTTCCCCCCCCCCCCGAGGTTTCATTCACACCAATTACTAGGAAGAAACTAGAAGGATTAGTTAAAGACATGTTCATATTTTAACATCACAAATGAAGGCAAATATACGTGTCCCAAGATACAGTTGCAGGATCCAATCTGGGTCAGTCTTCCGAGCTTTCAGACTTGTTCTGGAGCCCATCCTCAGGGAACTTGTGCCTCACCAGAATGTGTACTTTAGCATCAATCTCCCACCAATATCTCCCAATTTTATTAGAAACAAAGACCTGTCAGACTGCCTTTCGGAAAGCTCACAGGATTTTCTCATTCTCTAGCCTGACATATTAAAAGACATTGAGTTTCAGTTCAGGCAATCCCCAGGGAAGGAAAAAATGCTGATACAACCCAAGACCAGAGCCCAGGTGGAGTGTTCTCCCACCTGAGAATATTCCTGTAGTAGTTAATGGGTGGAGTTAAGGCATTAGGCCTTGAGAAATAATACAAAGTGGGGTTGCAATTCCTCTGCTGTGAATTAGTGTCCTGGATTCTTGTCTTCTCGCTTGTTATGGCCACTTTTATTATCTAGAAATAAGACAGAAATGTAGACAGAGGTGAGACACATGCCTCTCTTGTATAACACAGGGTCTTTTGAGACAGAGCAAACTGTGGAAAATGCTTATGAGAGTTTAAACATTTACGCGTAACATTATATAGCCCCTTTTCCTTTCTTCAGGGAATGTATGAAGCATTTGCACTCCATTTGTCCCATGAGGTAGTTTAACTGAGAGACAGTGACTGCTCCAAAGTGAGCTTCTATGACTGAAAATACTGTAGATCTGAACCTGGGACTTCCACAGCCCTAGTCCAACACCTTCATGATTACACCCCACTGGATCTCTTGAAGCAATATGAATTTGTCTGGTGTGTTCATCTTCCTGGATTCTGGTTTAAAGGGACTGGATGCCTGACAAAGTTGCTTCACTGTTTTGTCTCTGTGACTTCACCCAGAAGTATGGATGTGTGGGCTGCAACTAAAGATTTGTTGACACTCAATAAAGCAAAGAAAGAATGCAGAGCTTTCCTTCTAGAACTCTTCTAAGCCTTCTACCCACAGCAGCTACAGGCTTCTGTGAAGTAAAACTATTATAAAAGCAATTATTTGCATTTCTGCCTTCCCCTCCTGTACTACCTGCACATATTTGTACACTGGGAAGCACCAAGCAAGCTACATATCCTCTTCAATGGGTTGCATGACCAGCAAGGATCAGCCAAGGGGGCTTAGCATGGAGCAATCAAAAGGATGGGGATGTTTTTTTCTCTACAGCTGAATCATTCCAATTTTTGAACTCAATTTTCCTTGTGCCAGCTTCTCCCTTTCTCTGTCCCCATCCAACTTGGTCCCATCCTGTTCAGTTTCTAGATTAGAGTCATCCTGCTGACAGATGGACAGGCAGGCTCTCAAGCCCCTCTAGATAGCTTCTTCCCAACACTCTGTTGGTTTTGGAAAGAATACCGAGGACCAGAGCAACACAGCCCTAGGCAGAAAGGCAGGAAAATATACAGCAGACTCCTCCTCATCTTTCTAAACATATCAAAACTTAAGCATTTCATAACATCTTTCTGGTAATTAGAGCTGTTCTTTGTTTATCCCCAAGTCCTCCATGAAACAAATTCATCTTTGCTTCACATTCCATGGAGTTCATTTACCACTGAAACATCCTCTCCTCATCCCACTCTTGTCTTGTTCTGTGGAGACAAACTGAAAAAAATAGAACAGCTTCACAGGAAGCATCATGGAGGGAAAGAATCTGAATTTTTTGAAGAAAAGCAGAAAGCACCAAAGGGTTCAGATAAAACCAGGAAACCTGGCAAGGGAACCAAAGAAGAAAGCTGCCACCAATGCACTATGACAAACTCAGGCTTAAAGATATTATCTACAGTTCCTTCCAGGAATGACTATATAATTAATTTAAGCTTATTCTCCTGAAGCAAGAGACCACAACCTTTCAGGCTGTTTCTTAATCTTTACTCACATGGAAGTCATCCAAGGAGGATAGCCACTCCGGTATCTTTGATAGTTGGAACAGGAATATGTACATGGATTTAATAATTTGGGTGAGATTTTTGAGGAGATACTCTGCAAGATTGAAAAGGAAAATAAATTGAGACAAACTAGCAATGCTTAATGTATATGAAACATCTTAAAAAGGCCACCTTGAAGAGCTAAGAAGTCTCATTGGGGTTATGTAAGCTAATTTTCAGATTATGTCTGTCTTGAAGCCCTCTTTAGACAAACACTTTCAAAATAGTCAAAAATTCAAATATTCCATTTGGACTGCTATTCCTAGCGTCTGGATCAGCTGCCAACCCAAGCAAGAGAAACAACTGATATTTTAAATGGATTCTGGGCCAGTGTGCTAGGCAATTGAAGCTTCCATCAAAACTGAGAACCCTTTTTCACGCCCAGCAACACAATTGGATGTTGAAGAAGTACAGGCCACTTTAAAGAAGGAAGGGCTGTATTACACCCACAGTTATAATACAGTTTTCATCCTTTTTTTCAGTTCTCTTTTTTGGGGGGTATAGAAGAACTTTCATCATTTTAAGCAGGCCCATCCTATTTTAGGGCTTATTCTATAAAAACTCATTGCTGGAGATGAACGTCAGCAAACCTCAAACCCTCCTCCCTCTTTTTACTCCTCTTTCTTTACCAAGAAAGATTTGGCATTCCCAAATGTGATGGAAAGCTTCATTTACAGACTCAGAGGGACTACCCTGAAGTCCTGTGAAGGGTTTCCAAACAATTTAGAGCAGCGGTATCAAACTCAACTTCACTGAGGGCATCAGCATTGTGGTTGCCCTTGGGGGGCCGGGTGGTGTGGCCAGAGTGGGTGTGGTCTACTGGATGGGTGTGGAGGGAGTGGGTGTGGCCTGCTGGGTGGGCATGGCCAGCTCTACATCATTCGCGTCAAGGATGTCCATGGGGGCCTGGGCAAGAGTGGGACAGATCTGAGGGTCTCTGGCAGAAGGGGGTGGGACCGGGGCAAGTGCCAAAATGGCCACCACAAAATTGTATATTAGCTCCTGGCTGGCCTGGGCCAGGGCCAAGGCAGAGGGGGCCGTTCCTTCACTGTTTCCAGGATGACTTTGCAAGCCACATGAAACCACTTCGTGGGCCGCATCCGGCCCCCGGGCCTTGTGTTTGACATGCTTGATTTAGAGGAAAACCAGAACTTTAGTAACTCATACATTCATGGGGAGGGAGAGCACTGCCCACTTGAGTTTAATTCATGCTGCCTTATGCTCCCTCCAGCAGCCTTCCTTCCAGCAGTCCTAATGAGTGCTCACTTAGCAAGCAAAACATCTTCAGGATCCCGGGGTCTACATTATGGGGCTTCTCCTTTAGTGAATTAGCTATGCATAAGGCACCATTCCCCATTTCCTGCTTTGGATCATCCATAGTCTTTTTTTTTTCCTGGCCTGCACTGCCATTGCTATTTGGCCCTTATTTCACTTCCCCTTGGCATTTATTCTGATTCTAAACAAGGTTTTCCCCTTAGCATCGTCTCAAATCCCTCACGCTCAGTTACTGAATTCAAGTGCTACCAACGTGAACCAATATCTGTATCTGTAGGTGCCTATTATCTCCGAGTCACAGCTATTTTCTCACATGTAAGTGTGCTACACTCATCCTGTGCATCTTAGTAATTTGCACCAGAGACCTCTCTAGAAATGACAAAGAGGTTGGTCTGGGCCAGGGGTAGGCAACCTTGGCTCTTTTATGACTCGTGGACTTCAACTCCCAGAATTCCTGAGCCAGCCATGCTGAGGGGAAAGGGAGAGGTTTCCAAGCTGAGCCATGCTGGCTCAGGAATTCTGGGAGTTGAAGTCCATGAGTCATAAAAGAGCCAAGGTTGCCTACCCCTGGTCTGGGCTCTCAGGTGGCTCAGCTCTAGCTGACTGAGACAGAATACCCGATTCAGAAAAGGACTCCTTTCTCTACAAATAGTCATGCGGTGGATTAGTCCAGCCAGATCCCACAGCTGCTCACTATACAATTTCAGTGGCCACTGAACTCTCTATAAGGAATCCCTTATGGAGACCCCAAAGACTCAGAAGAACATTACCCTTACCAAAGAGAACATGTGCTGGAATACCATTCATAAAAATCAGCTTCTCCACCATGTTAGGGTAATTGGCAGCAAATTCACACGCAATTGCTGCTCCCCAGTTATGACCTACCAGGATGCACTTGGGATCCCCTAAAGAACAAAAGAAAAAAAAAATTCCAGGAGGAAAGAAAGCCTGAACAAACATTAGTCACAAAAAGCTGCCTGAAGTAGTCTTGAAATATTTTTGAAAACGTAGCCAGGTAAGCAACGGCAGATGTGCCCTTCCCACTCCTACTGGCCCCACGCCCATGAACAGGAAGTTTCCAGGTAATAGCACTATTATACAGATCAGATTCTCCAGCTAGGAAAAAAAAAAACAACCTCTTCCTGAACTCACCATCTTTTCCATTGGAGCCCAGGGCTTTGATAACACCTTGTATGTCTTCTAGAATAACATCCCTTTGATAGCACTCCCGAGCCAGTGGTGCATCAGAAAGGCCATAGCCTTTCATATCAAGTGCCACCACCTTAAAAGCTTGACTGAACTCCTTTAGCTGATGGCGCCATGAAAACCTGCATAATATACACCCAAACCACACAGAGGTAAGAAAAAAGCACAGCGAAAGGCACCCTTGCATATTTTCTTAGATTTGTCATTCATATTGACCCTCCCTCCAGTTCATTTGATTAGGAATTATATATTCCACCGGGCATATATTTTACATTTCATTTGACGTGTAACTAACACTAAATAAATGGTGTATTTTGCAGTTGTAATTAAAATTGAATGTCTGACAATGATTTACAGTGAATTTTAGAAATGTAATTCCAACTAGCTGAATATCATCTCTCTCTGGGTAATGTCCTGTTCCCAGTTATGTCATGTATCTCTTCTACATTGGTAATATGCCATATGCATGGTATCTTTTGACTTTTTTCTGGCTATGGACATGATTACACACTTATTGCAGAAATTCATTTCCCGAGTACAGACATATGTCCACCTTACCCTGTGCTCAATCTAAATCTGAGGTTCACTATCGTCCAAATTCAAATTGATTGCAATTTTGGATTCCTGCACACTGGGCTGTTAACTTATGCCAATCCTCAGTTTAAAACTGTCTGCACAATCTCATGTTCTACAACCATATGCCAAAGCAAGACTTACCAGCTCTGGGGAAATCCATGCAAAAAAAGCATCAGGCAAGCCCCTTCTTCACCAGCTGCAACGTAGTGGAGCCGTATTCCTGACTTCTCAAATGTACCATGACAGAGATAAATAACACACCGTTATCCAAGGATCATGTGAGAAAGCATATTTTTCCTGCAGATATTTGATCTACAGTAGAAACTGGGTAAGGAGTGATGACAAAGCCTCTTCCTGAATTCTTGAAAGCAGCTGCTATTTAGAACAGAAATTATTATGCTAACCAGGCAGGTAATTAAAGTTTAAGGCATGCTCCTCCCAGCCTTTCAAATATATTTGTAGCACTATGCTCCATGATCTTATTTTCACATCTAAAGTGAACTTTGATTAATATGATCTCAGTGAGGAACTCTACCTTTACCTTAAGCAGACTCACCTTGAGGGTCAGATACTTGTGTTCACCGTAACAGGAATCAGTGAGGATTTCTGGTGGGAGTCTCTGAATCTTCTGGAATACCCGCTTTGGGCCTTTAGTAAGTATCAGCCTGAACACCCACACAAAGTAGAAAAGAGCAGCAATACAACCAGCACCATACAAGGTCAACTGCATCACAATGTTGGAGGCCTTCAGCATTATGCGAGTGGGCACCAGTAAGGAGCGATAGAGAGATTCCATTTTTTGGGATATAATCCTGGGCTAAAGGGAAGATTTTTTTCTTTTAGGTATTTTAGTTAAAATAGCATTAGACATCAACCAATATTTCAAGCTACATCTGTTGCAACAACTCTTAGAAAAAGAGAGCTTCCCTGTTTTCCTGTGGATAGGATGTGCAGGATGCATAAACAACTGGGGAAAACAACACCCTTATCCCCAAACTCATACTGAGCCACAGAGCAGTAAAACCCTCACCTTTTCTTTGAATGCTATGCAGATTCACAAAGGAAAGCCAGGATAAGAAGAATATACTTTAGAAAAATCTACAGATAACACTTCTAAGAGGGAATACAGAGCATCACCTGGCTTGCAGAAGAAATATATTCACATTAATTTCCCCCAAGGACTATAGCTGCTGTCTTTGAGAAAACGGGAGAGTTGTAAATTCATAAACTAATGTTTCTATTTAGGTTTTGCAGCATGAAATAACTTATGCAACTTTGCAAGTCTTAAGAGCTTTCGTAAATTCTTTGTTTTCCTTCCCCACCTCGAAACGATCTGATAGATTTGCCGGGACTGCTTCTCTCGAAACCCACAGGGTAAACCGTGGTCTTCTCGGTGAGAAATCCACAACGCTGGTTGCATTCACACAACCACGGCGTTAAAACGCGATCGGCTACATTGTGGGTCCGCGTGTCGTGCGAACCCTGAGGCCCAGAATACCAAGTCCAAGCCAGGGTCAAGAGCGGGAGCTGGCATGACCCAACCCAATCTATGAGACAGTCACCCGACAAACCGCAGTACGAACCGTGATACTCAAATAACCAAACTCAGATGGTGCCCAAGCTTCCAGCTCCGACCTTCGGAGAAGCGGAAGGGCTGCGCTTCCTCCGTTTAAAGCCAGCTTCGCAGCTCCGCCCACCAAGCGAAGGCTGGAACTATTTCTGCGCCCTGGTGTGGGCGGGGAGAGCGCCCACCGGGGGGCATCCTCCGCCGCCGACACAGGCTCCACCCGGGCGCAGACAAGGCTGGCAAAGGCGGCGACGTGGTCGCTGCTCCGGGGAAGATCGGAGATGGCGGCCTAGCCTGGATGTTGTCTCCAGAGCCCAGCCGGGGTAGCTAGCTCGGGGGAGGAGTTGGAGCGCTCGGCTCCCGCAGCAGGCCAGAGATCGGGGCGAGAGGCGTGTTATTAAGGCGCGGGCTCGCCCTTCCAAGAGCCCCGGGAAGGCCCGGCTTCAAAGTTCATCTAACGCAGCCGTTGCAATCGAGTCTCTGGCATGCGGCGCGGCCGAGGCTCATTTATTTTCGAAGGGGCAGTAAGCCAAGCCGGACTAGACCTGCTACCGGTAGTTAAATGGGCCCCCGTCTGCGAAGGCCAGCTTGCATAGCAAAGTAGACGGGGGAAAGCGTCAGGCTACTTCGGTAGCGTGCCGGGAAAACTGAGAAGGAATCGAGCCCGCTCGCAGGTGACTTTTTGGGCCCTCTCGCTCCACTTTCTTAACAGTGGCGGCTGCAGAGCAAGATGCGGCTCGGGAGATGCCCGCGATGTTAAGGGCTCCGCTTAGCAGGAGAACCGCCCCGGAGGTTTCCCCTGCCGACGTCCGCATCCACCCCGTGTAACTACAGGGTTGGTACATGCGCTAAGCTCTATTTTGGCTTTGCGCCGGAGTAAATAAACTATCGAATGAAGGCAAATGTTACGTGTCCCAGGATAATGTTGCAGGACCCAATCTGAGTCGGTCACGAGGACCAGTGGGTGTGGATCTCCACATCCTGGAGATTGAGGATAGACTCCAGAATGAGTCCGAAAGCTTGGAAGGACAAACTTTTGGTCTTGGTGACAGACTCAGATTGGATCCTGCTATATAAACTATGTTTGGGGCCTTCTTCAATTAGGGGCATCCGTGGCTAAGCATGATGTATGAACGCAGTCACTGTGTAGTGTTTATATGGGATAATAAGCCACCAAGCTCCAAACAGGTCACTTTTATCTTCCTGAAAGAAAACCATCTGCCTTTCAGTTGTGGCAAAAATAGAAAGGCAGGCAGCTGATGTTGGGTGAAGTGCAATTCCAACAGGAATATAGAAACAATAAACTCTAAAGCACTGATGGCAAACCTTTTAGAGACCGAGTGCCCAAAAACTGCCCTTGCCCCTGCTCCACCCCCTGCCCTGCCTCCATCCCCCACCCCACCTGCCCGCAGGGCCATTCACTGCCTCCAGGGCCTGCCACAGATTGCCCAGGCAGCTCAGCAGCGCCATGGCGGCCACACCCTCTGCCCGTGCCCCGCAGCATCAACTATGCAGGAAGGGGTATGAAGGCAGAGTCTTATCTACGCTGCCTGGCTGCCATGTCCTTGGCTGCGCTACTCCGTGTGGGCCACGCTTGGGGGCGATTCTCCTCCAGAGCGGCTGCTGGTGAGGAGGGTGTGTGGAGGGAGGCAAGGCTGGGGCAACGGCACGTGTGCCCACAGAGGGCTTCAGTGCTGCCTCTGGCACGTGCCATAGGTTTGCCACCACTGCTCTAAAGTATGTACATGACTGATTGAAATTCCAACTGCTTTACAGTACTTGAAGCTGCAAGGATCTTGTTTGATTCACACACTAGCTACTTCCTAGGCAGCTGACCTTCCTGGCCTAGTGGTCCAAAAGAACTTATTTCATATATACTGTCAAGTGGATGTTGAATCTTAGTGATCACATAGATCTTTTTTCTATGAAGATTTGTCCCTAACCTGACCTTCAGGTCTTCCAATGATGTATTCAATATCACTATAATGCCCATCAAGGACCTATTGGTCCTGGTGCTCTTCTCTTCTTCTCTTTCCTTCTATCTTTTCCTAGCATTAGAGACTTCTCCAAAGTTGTTTGGATAATGTGTTCAAAATACAATGATTTGAGTCTGTCATTTGTGCCTTGAGTGTGTTATGTGCTCCTGGCTACTTTCCTTCGTGACCAGAGGCAAGCTCGCCTGACCAATAACCAGCCAAGACACAGTGAAGGCCTTTTGTTTCGTTTATTGCAATAAGCGGGGAGAGAAGCTTTCAAAGCTTGGTTCTCTCCAAAGTTTTAATCCAAAATATCTCCTTCTTTTATTCATCCCTATCACCGGCTACAGCCCTCCTCTTTCCCCATTGGCTGAGGTAGTATGAGGTTACACTCTTTCCGTCGGCCTATACACATTTCCTGATAACACACTAAATCATATTCACTTATACAATAAGAATAAGAAAAATTATTTTCTTATGGTTATTTTTAAACTCAAATATATTTATGTCCCCATTAAACAATAAGTTCTTTTCCTGCTTTTCATTCAATTCATCATTTCAATTCATCATTCTCTTCTTATCTTATTTGGCCTGGTTTCCTACTTTCCTATACTTTCCTATACTCCTATACTGGCTAGCCATTTCCTTAAAAACTATTTATCTATTTTATGACTTTCCTCTTCCTTTCTCAGACCCAACTATTTTTGCCTATATGGTTATCTTACTTCCTTAATGTTATCTCTTTCTGACTCTCACCATCTGTATTTTTAACTGACTGAAGATTTGTCATATTGATGTATATTTATCAATCCCCCCTGTATTTCTGTATATTCTGATGAATCTTCATTTTTGGCTATATTAGATAACATAAATTGAATCTTCTCCAGACATGTTTCTCGCTACTGACCCCAATGTTTTGGTGCAAAATGAAATACAGCAGGGTATACATTGGAGACAGACACAACATATAATACCTATCACAACTATAAACACTAGTCCTATAAATATTTGTTTTAACCATCCAAAATTGGGAAGCCAATTTGTTAACCAACTCCAGTCACCCCACATATTTTCATACTGTTGTTCAGGAGCTTTGGGCACATTCCTGATTCCTTTTGCAATGTGCATCACTGCTTCATGATTGTCATTTACCTTTAAATCCCACAAACACATTTTTACCTTTATTTCCCAGGTTGTTCTGGTGTGTTGTCTTCAGTAATATTAGAAGTAGAATCCACCCCTCATGATTATTACACAGTATTTCACACCCACAAATTGATCCACAATTACAACAATAACAATAATCACTAGCTATTACAGAGGTAACACATCTACCACCTAATTCTTACAATGTACAATTCTACATTTTCAGTTTCTAATGGTATGACTTCTGACTTAGTTATTCATTTTATTTGTAACAAACAACTTTTATTTTTCTGATGAGTCACCACCAACATCTTTCTTCATCTGGGGTCACCTGAAATTCTAATAGAGATATTCAAAATAGGTAGGGGTTCTGGTCCACTACACATTCAAGTCCTTTTAAACGTGGCTTTCAGTCCTTGTCCTGGAATAACCGTCCAACCTCTTTCAGGTCCAGTCACCACCTTTGCTCATGTGTAGTGAGTCCAACCCTTCTCAGCCCTCCGGACAGCAGATATAACATAAGGAACTTCCCTTCTTTGGTTGTAGAAGTTCCTCCTTCCATTTACGATTCAGCACACACTGTCCCGGCTGGATCTTATGGACTGGAAATTCCAAAGGAGTTGTTTGCGCCACCAAGCCTTCCTGTCAAAGAGAAGACAGAGACCCCAGTACTTGTTCTACATTTAGCTATTTGTCTCCCTCCTTTGGGAGCCTTAACCCTTTATTAACCCTTTTACATATCAAACATCCCTCTGTAGCCCTTTGGGCTATCCCATAAATTCCAAGGGTAGCATAGAATTTCAAATACATTTCTATGTTTCAATTCCCCAATGATTCCCCTCATATAGTTTTTGGATCACCATTCTTGCAGTACCTTGTAATAACCACAGAATCCCCTTAAGACCATTTTTGTTGTTTGGTAATTATAAATCTATATCCTTAATCCTTTTACTATCTATTTTCCTTTCCCCAACTATAATATATTCTAGATATTTTACCTCCTTTCATACCAATTGGGCTTTATTTGCTAAACACCCTCAATCCTTTCTTCTGCCAAAAAGTTGCTTTCCCATTTCTTTATAATTCCCAGAATAAGTTCTTACAAAATTGGGAAGCTACATAAAAATGTATTTGCTTCCACAGCTTAAAAGGGGAGGAAAGAAAAGAAAGAAAAAATCATTTGTCCTGTATCAGATAGACTACACTTGTCCATGGAAGCTCTATCAAAAATTGTCACATTTTTCTTTCTTCTCCCCCTTTCACCCTGATTAGATACCATGTTACAAAAATATAACTCAATAAACTTATTGTAAATAACACATTCAGGATTCTAAAAGGTAAAGCACATAAGCTCACCAATTAGCATTGGGCCAACATTTCTGGAATGCCTTTTGTCTCAGGCAAATAACATTCAAATCACTCTTGTGGCAGCACATCAAAGAACACCAGGATAGCTAAGAAGACAAAAGATTGTCTCCCCCTTCCCCCATTCACTAAACCAGACAGAGTAAAAATTTATACAGAACTTTTGCTTGAAACAGCCCTCAGTCAGGAGGAAAATTGCCATAACATTTACAAAAGTGGCTTGCCAATACCTCCCTCCTAGGGCTAAAAAATAAACCAGCCCCAAAACACTCAGCCAACCCTCATGGCTAAAACAGGATTTGAACTCAAATCCAGCCTTGCAGCCTGTGGCTATAACCCTGAAACCAAATTGGTTTTCTATAAAGATTTCCCTTCCCCTCCTTGGCTCCAAGGAAAAGAAAAACAAATTGTGCACACACAGTATGCAGCAATTAATCATCTTTTCTGCAGTAGCAAGGAGTTCCAAAGACACATATTTATTAGATGTTAAATAAAACATCATAAGATTGTTCCTTTGACAAGAATACCCTCAAATGCATTATTAAGGATAAATCCAAACTAAAATGCAAAGGAAAATCACTGAAGCATACCACACATACAAAAACAGAATATCAGAGTTGGATGGGACATTAGAGGTCCTCTAGCCCAACCCCTTACTGAAACAGGAAACTCTATCCATTTCAGACCCTATCAATTTCTAACCTCCTCCCAAAGACCTCCAATAATTAAGCATCCACAATTTCTGGAGACAATTATCCCACTGATTAATTATCCTTACAGTCAGGAAATTTTACCCAATTTCTGTTCTTTAAAAACACACATACACACAAACAAACATGCAGACAGAGACTGCCTCCCCCCCCTTTTTTTCTTCTTCTTCTTCTTTCTGCATCTCTTACTTTTCCAAGGCAGAAATTCTTGGGTTAAAAAAGTAACAAACTAAACATGTTTAAA